TTTTTCACCTCCCCTCATAGCTGCTGATAGCCCTCAGTTGTATTTCCTTACTGAAGTGATGATAATTTTGTGCTCTCCTCCCCTCTAACTTTTGCTTGCCCCTAGCATTCTTCTTTCCCATGTGTCCTATGTTTCCTGTAGATAGAAGGACTGTTCCTTGAAATGAAAGGCTACCCAATAATCTTTCAACTGACACTCATGAATTTGTTGGTTCTTTTCCTCTTTCTTTTAGTATTTATGTAGGTTTTGATTTTTAATTCTTCACAACTTCATGAGACAGCTTTTGGCTGTCTTGTAATGCAGTGTTGCTGTATCTGTATTTAACTACAATATTTATTGAAATACAAATACAAAACATGTACAACCTAAATAAATCAGCATTTGTAAAGTGACAATAGCTGGCTTAATGTATCAACCTCTGATTTCTAGGAATGCCTTCTCATCTGCATGGAACTTTGTGACTAAATGTAATAAATTTCAGAGAAGCAAATGGGAGCACGCCTAACATCTTTTTTCATAGTCATAAATACAGAATTCAAAATAAACACTTGTTTATGCTYAGAAAGGGTTCTGGAACTGAAATCATCAGTGTAAAGCAGTAGTTGTGAAAGTTTTTTTTCAGGAAGTTGAAAAAACCCATAGATGACTGGAAGGATCAATTGGTGGAATTTAGTCAGGAAAAAATGCATATATACCGCAATGCATGTAAATAAATGTCATTTTCCCCATGCTGATGTGCAAAAGGACAATAGGCATGACAAAAAATTTAGACTGCTACTGAGGTGCTGTAACAAAGATAAGGAAAACATATCCGAACTAGGATAATGCTAAAAAGATTTGAGTTCATAAATCCTTATTCTATTCTATATGGGAAAATATATTTAAATGAGAATTATTAAAAAATACAGCTAATATAATCCTTAAGACAAAGCCTTTTTATTTAAAAAGGATGTGATTCTACCTGCATTTTGCAGGTAAGTTTGGAGTTTCTAAGGTAGCCATCTACTTACCTGCCCCCTGGAAGTTAGGAGATTTTGGGAATGCACTGGTTGCTAATCAACATTGTCATTCTCCTAAGTTTGAAAYGTAGGAGTCGCATACAGCGCTGCACCTTCAGTCTGCGAGGTGTTCTTTGGTAGGTTCCACTCTCTGGGAAAAGATAAAACAAAGGCATTATTAGTGAAAGGGTGCATCTGTATCTCCTCACTTTCTGACCTTCTAAAATTTTTCTTTGTTGTTGATTATGATGTCTTGTTTTGCCTTTACAAATCTAATTTACACCTGCTATTAAAAAAAAAATAAGTTCTGTTACTATCCAGAAGGCGAATGTGATGTCTTCTGATKTTGTAAATGGAGTGGATAAATTTAATGATGTAGAATTTTTTTCTTTTTATGATTCTTTCCTTTGGAATTTTGGGGAGTTGAAATGTATATCCATGTAACTGTTGGTTTTAGGGGTAATTTACCAGCTTACACCAGTTGAGAATATTATGTCCAAAGTTCTCAGTTAAATTGTAGGCTTATAGTTAATCTTTAAGCCTTTGAACATTTTCCTGCTGAGGCTTGAAATAGCGGCATTCATTCAGTCCATGTTTTGGAAGTTCAACTGCAGGTCTGTTTTTAAGCAAGTGGGAGGTGGAGAGAGCCGCCAGGATTTCTATCATTACCAGATCAGTGAAGTCCAGACTATTGCTTTTGCTTTTCGTAGTGATGGACCGTCTCCATTTTAGTTACATGCTAATTTTATTTGGAGAGATTGTAAATATTCTCTATTGAAATTTAAAAATCCATTTTAGTCCTGAAGAGGCTTACAATGTCTTTTTAGTGAAAATACTTCTGTTATCTAATACTAATACTGAGCCAGCTAGGGAATACAAAGGATGAAACTACTGATTCTATGCAGAAGGGAATTGCTTATATTAGGATTAAGAGAACCTGATGCAAGCAAATACATATAAGAAAGCCTGTTCTTTTGTTAATTTGAACAAAGCAATCTCTTGGTGCATGGAGTATGMAGATTTAGAGCTGAATAGTTCAATCTTACTTTACTTCAAGCACTTATAAATATGTAGCATGCTGCAAAGCCTGGAATTGTAGAGAGAAGATGATAAAATATATTTTGTACTGTTTCTTCCTCATGTTATTGCACCTTACTCCACAGAGTATTTATTATGTTAGTTCTTAATAATTGATTGAGAACTGATGATACAAAAATTACTGAATATGTAGAGTGTTTTAGTATAACATGAAGATGCTACGGGTGTATTTTATTGGTCTATTAACATATATGTCAAGGTCTGATATGATACATGAGGCTGTTGGTCCTGTTCTCTATGAGATTTGTATTAACAGGCCAGTAAAACACATCCTGGAGGGTCTTAATGGTGTTGTATAGTGAGGAAAGATGCCTTACGTTTAAGSGTATGTCTATATATAAATTGCTTTGTGGTTTAAATAAGCAAGTTAACTTTAAATGAGGAAGCTGGAGTTCTCAAAGTAGTCTAACAATAGCAATGTCAATCTCTTATGTAAGTTAATTTACTCTGCTGTTTGGGAGAACACTATCTTAAGGCTAAGGTGGTCTCCATTAATTTCCCAGATTTCCTGGAAAAGTTGTATGAGTCAGTTCATCTCCCACGTATTTCATTTACAAGGCTACAGACAACAGAAGCCCACTTGTTATCTCGGAGTGCTACTGCACATTGGGTAGTATCATGAATATAGCCCAGGAAATTTAAATTGCATTTAAAGTACTTTCAAAATTCTTTATCTAGTAATGGCTTTCCATATAGGAAATATGAGGATTTTTCTCTGCGCCCCCCCTCCCCCCCTCGATCTCTCTCTTATTATTATTTTTTAACCTGATACTTGTTTACTTATATACTGTGGAAAGGCTGACTTCCACTGYGTCCCTTGGCTATTATTAGTCTCCTTTTTCCTTCTCTCTCATCTTATTTTCATTCCATACACAACAAAAGATAGGTAGCTTTATACTCATTTTTGAGTAGAGTGTTTACAGTTTTCTATTTTCCTTTGAAACATTGAATACATGTTTATTCCTGGGTGAAACTGTCTTACTGCATGCAAACAGCAGAGCTCCAAGAGCCAAAGGATGTCTGCAATAGATCAGTCCAAAGTAGATTGTCCAGCTGACTCTGGAGAAATCAACAAAGACAACAGGCAGTAGCAAAGGCTTGGAGAAAGAATGCAAAAGCAGGGCAAGCACCTTGATATTTCTTTGCTCTTTTCATCTGCAATTTAAGAAATTTTCAAGTAGAATATTACATCCAGACCATTTTGCTTAATAGCCCTTGAGAGAATTTTCTTGCATTTATTTAAGAGGTTTTTAATCTTTCACATATTAACATCCAACTTGTCCTTTTGGAATGATTTCCATCACTTTAGTTCCGAGTCTTGTGGAAAACGTTTGATTTACATCTGTGCTCTTTATGTGCAGCTACCACATAGTTTCATTGCACACCCTATGGATGCTGTGCTTTTGGGGTGCAAATTAGCAGTCTGTATTCAGTCATCCTATGGTCAATCTACTGCCTTTTCAGCTTTGTTGAAGTAATTCAGCTTGGTTTGCGTTGCAGCGTTTTAAACAAAGGCGATCAACAAGCAAAATAAGTTGACTCTTAATGGAACGTGTCTTTCCATTCATCTGAGAAGTCCAGAATACAAATGTCATTGCTATGACTGAAGTTCTCATGTGATGTATATAGAAGCAGAGCTGACACATGGTGATATTCCGGTTTGTTAATTTTTACTAACAAGCCTTGGGCTTGCTGAAATGAATATGGTCTTTAGCAAAAGGAAGAGGTCAGTGCAAACCGAGAGACCTGGAGTTTGTGCTGGGATAATACCTAGCAGTTGCAGTGCATGTGGACCAAGTCCTGCRTTAAAATAAGGCAGTTAAAGAGATAACAAGTGCCTCAAGGTTTGATTGGAGGCACCTGCTTGTGGCTGCAGGCTTGGGCTACTCAGCASTCAGTTCTTGCTGCCACTGGGACAGCAGCTGCCAGGCTTCTCCAGACAGCACCCACCACTCTTATTCATTTGTTCTGACTCCAGGCATAAAGATACTTTATCTGTCCATCTACCTACTTACRTACTTAGTTTTTGTCTGTTTGATCTTTACCAGAATGCGGTGCTGCTTGTGTTATTTGTGACATTTATCCCTATACTGTCAACGGGGAGGATGACCTTGAAAAACAATTGCTTGCCCTTGTGAAGGTTTTATTATTATTATCCAGGCTGAGTAGCCTATCTGGAAAGTAGAACTCTGAGTTACTCCATTCTTCAAAATAAAAGCTCTACTTAAAAAACAAAACAAAACAAAAAAACCACTCATATAATTATAATTGAGAAATGTGTAGATGTGTATATGCCAAAACAATGTCTTATAAGAAAATAGTTCTAAGAGAAAAGTAGCTTTGCATGATTCATACAGGAGTGAACATGATGAATGAGTTGTATGAACATTCATACAAATCATGTTGTGACTCACTTTTAATTGGAAAATATTGTTGATAATTTATTGGGTAAGYGAGAATCTTTTCTAGCCCATGTCTGTCTGGAAGATGAAAAGGTGTGATGGAAAGGTGACTTAGCAAGGGAATTTGAAATCCAGACAGGCTACACCAGTACTGCGCTTGACTACAGATGAGTCAAAGATGTTTATAGCAGATACCTCAGAGCAAAAAGTTTTTGAGGAAGGCTGATATTTTGCCTGTCAGATCTGCTTCAGGACTAGTGACTATGAGCATCTTAGCTACTTCAATTCCCTGATGAACTGCCTTGAAAGGATGAGTTTATAAATCACCTCACAACACTGTACTACAAAACTCTCATGATCAGCAATGCAGTGACCACATTTATGGGAAGAAAAGGCATCTTTTCTGGGAATAATATGAGAACGTATCAGCTCCACATATGTTGATTGCAAACTCTGCAGGTTTCTGTGGCTTACTCCTTGACCTTCACCTTTGCTTTCACAGACTGCAAATTTCTCAGACACATCCACAGTGTGAAGTGCATCTTAATAGCTGGACTGCCTGATGGAGAGATTTCCTTCCATTCTTAATTGGGTGATACCTGTAGCTCTGTCATCTATGATCATACAGATTTGCTGCTTCTGTTTGCAGTATCTCTGGGGAAAGTATGACAACTTATAACACTGAAAAGTGACTTTAGGATGCATATTTACATTGTTTTGTTCTATAAATAGTCTGTCATTTTTGCTAAATGTAAATTGTGCGACTTGCTCATGCTTTACTTTCTACTTTTTCTTATCTCTCTGTGCTCCTTCAAACCCGAAAAAATTTTTGCTGTCTGTTAATGAATAATGAAGAGTAAGTTCAGCCCAGGTGGTTTTTGTAGCTCACTTTTGCAAGGAGATGGCATCTAGTCCACTAAATGGCAGATAGGACCTCTTCATTAGAGGTATTTCTTGATGGCAACAGGAAGGACCAACCACCAGATTGCAGATGGGTCTATTCCCCCTCTGCTCCAGCACCCTTCGTTTTTCTAATCGTAATCGCAGTCTAATGCTGAATGGATGACTTGTTCYTGGGCACATTGCCACTATTTTACAGGTCAGTTCTGTGCACTCCATTTCCATGAGAACATGCTTGCTACCTTTTTGCATTAGATTAATTACAACAGTTAGTCACTTAGTTAAATGTACAGCCATTACGGTTACATTTCTGTTTGTCTCCCCATGAACAGGCTCTTCTGCATTTGTTTTGACCTGTTGTTACCCCAGTGCTATGAAGTCTGCTAATTTATGGGAACTGAGACTAATGCTAATTCACAGTTATCAAAAGTCCATCTCTGAGCCTTTTAGGAGGAAAAAATTCATGGAATTTGGAGAAGAAAAAGATGGACTACTTGTTCTTTGATAAATTAATGCTGAAAAAAGAATAAGGCTTCTTTGCTTTGGTAGTTTGCCTCAGGAAACTTGCAATATCCAAAGAAATAATTAGTTATTTATACTGTTGCCATCAGCTTATCTTTTACAACATTTCCCATCAAAATTGCAGGGAATATTGAACAAGTTGCTTTACCTTTTGCTCTCTTCCTGATTTTAAAAGTGGAGAAAATATTATTTGCCTCCTTTGCAAAGTGCTTTGAAATCTAGCAAAGGCGGCTGCATATTAATGGCAGATATTACTGTTTGATTCATGAATGTGTGCACTCGCTGCCCTGATGCTGTAAAATGACCTAAATAATATCATTTCTACTGCGACACAATTTGGCTTCTACTATTCTTAAATTTTCTGGCAAGTAGTAGATAGAAGAGCAGGAATATTTAGAGGTTCCTAGTTTAGTTCTGCTGATGTCTATGGCAAATTTTGTTGCACAGATGAAAATGCTACTGGACTAGTTACTTGAGGACTTTTATTAAAAATTGCTTCTGTAAATTCTTTTGGTATGAATCTACAGCAATATTAGCACCCGAATTCGTAGTTGAAAAGTATTTTGCAATTCATTGTGACGTACATAAGTCTACCTGTAAGTGCCTTTTATTAGCTATATATAGCAAAGGTTGCTGCTTTAGTCTGCTTTGGAGTTATTCCCATTCTCCCCTTTATACTTAGGAACAGAAAAGGCCAGTTACACTAAAGAGAATCATGAGGTAAACTGGAGTCTTTTATCACAATCTAAAAATAGGAACTTGCATAAAAGGGGGAGTTGGGAGAAGGAGAGGTTGGATTTAAATCAGGTTTGAGGTTATGGAATCTGTTCAACTTGGTCTGGAAGAAAAGTTGAGCAGATGTTCGTTGAGCTCTGTTATCTGTTCTCTTTAAGACCATAGGAAATTCAGGAAAGAATTTTAGTCTTCAATAACAAATACCAAGAAACTCTTAATTATATATCTATGCAGTTAATGATCATTTTTAAACATCTTTATTCTGTTTGAAATTGAGTATTTTCCACAGATAGAGCTATTAATCATCTGAGCACTAAAGTATAAAAATTAATGTTTCTTTTAGGACTGAAGAGAAAGGCAGGGCTAAAGATAGCTGCAAAGAAAAGGAGAAGCAGTAAACCATTAGAAATGCACAGTAAAAGGTACTGGAATTGAGCAGTTAACTCTGTAAAGGGACTTTAATCGTGTTCAACTGCCATATGAGGCTGGAGGTGGCACCTGCCTTGATAGCTCTGTGTTAGTTATAGTGGCTGCTGGTACCTGCCTGGGTACCACAGGGTGGCCAGGCTGCCACTGCTGCACTACTGCCATGGAAATATTAAACCAAGATTGATTCTCAATAGACCCTGGAATGTCTCACCTCTCCCAGCCTTTTTTTTTTAATTAGTGGACCCTGTAACTTCGTTAATAGTTCAGGTCAGGTTGCATCTCTCTAAGTAGTTTCTTTGTACACAACAAACAGTTAATCAGKTTTTTTTGGCTTAATGTTGCATGTGTCTTATGCAGCTCATCCTACCTCAAAGGTACAGTTTGATACATTAACTGGATATCAGGTTAATGGACTTYGGCAATCTGAAAATTACATCTCTCAATCTACTTTACATTTAACTAAAACGCATGGTGTCTGCTTTAAAAAAAAAAGCTCTATTAAGAACCAAGGAAAATGCTAAAATGACARTAATATATTTCAAGTATTCACTATGCTTGTGATATATTCTGCATAGTGATCTCAGCAGACAGACTACAGGCAACTTCTTCATACCAAAAAGTCAGTCATTGTCAGCTATCAGAACAGTGATTTTTCTCATGTTCCCATGGAATAAATACCATTATTTCAGAAGATGAAAAATAAAGATGAAATTCAACAAATTCATGATTTAACATTCCAATAATATTCCAGAATCTCCAGAACTTAGTGTCTCTAGTCTTCAGCATGACATACAGTTTTCATTTCTTGTATTTCTCCTTGACATATTTTGATAGTAGCAATAATAATAAATTCCACTCTTTTGCTATATCACTAGAATTGTTTCACAGATAGTTTCAGGGATCCTTTTAAGAGTGAATTAAAAAAAAAAAAAAAAATCACCTCCCCTTCCAAAAACTTTTAGGAAAGAAAAACAGTAAGATATATAGCTTTATAATAAATAGTGAAAACTAGTAATTATTTCTGTAGTGTTGTGCAGTTTGGGTTTTAGGATTTTTTTAAAATTTTTTGACAACAAAGCAGCCTCAGTCCCAGTAAGCACTTCAGGCTTTATTTAAGCTATCACATGCTTGCAGAATGTGAAATGGAAAGAAGTCAGGATGTACAGACCTGCCACACAGCAAATGACGTTATCTAAGTTATTCTTTGTGTGTTTCTAGCTGGTATTTCCATTATCAGGAGGTTAGTGCCTGGTCTGCGAAGCCCTGGCCCAGCTGCAGGGAGTCTGCAGGGCCCGGCTGCGGAGGCCGGGGTCGGGCGAGAGGCCGCAGCCCCGGGCTGGGGAGCAGTGATGGCTCCSGGCAGCGTCTGCTCCGGGCAGCCAGGCCCTCGTGCTTGGCCATTCGCCACGGGCTCGCGYGGGGAGACAACGGGTGTCACTGGCAGCGAGCTGCCCGTGGGCCCCGGTAGAGCAGGTGTGGGCAGAGGGCTGTGAAGACAGTGCCAGTTGGCCAAATACGGCCCTTGGGGCAGCCCTTTGCATGGTGGCAAGAGCAGCGCTGSTGCCCTCGCACCGTTCTTCACCGTGCCCTTGCATCAAACGTTGCCTCTGCCCTTCCTCTCGGGCCTTTGTCAGATGCTGTCRGGCTGTGGCTTCTAAAGCCCCATTTTTCTGTTTCAAATATTGTGTAACTCTCCTGGCACCTCCTGTGATCAGAGAAAATGGGATTACGGGTAATCCTAACTCCTGTGGCCCAGACAATGAGATTACATGTCCCCTGCAGCCAGGCTTTCTTGTGCTGCTGCAAATTATAAGAAGGTCTTGGGACTAATCAGTCATCAAACTTGTGTGAAAACTAGACAGAGAGGGAGAAAAAAAATAACCAAAAGATTTGTGCTGCTGTCCTAGTGATAAGCATTAGTAGAGTAAAAGCTAAATTCCTCCACTAATAAAATAGACAGACAGTAGGATGGCTCTCTCTGGGAAATTTTCCTGCCAGCGACAACTGCAGTACTCCAATTAAAGAAACGGAAGCCAGAGCATACAGAGAAAAATATTTCAACTGACCTTTTCCTGCGGAAATTTTCCTGGTTGTTTGTTCCTGATGTTTAGTTCAGAGTAGAGAAAATATCTATCTACCTGAGTGTCACATAATCACCTAGCTTAGTTGATTATATATATATATGTATTGTCTGCATATTACAGCAAGATATGTAGCAGCACAATAAAAAAGCATATCTACATGTCAAGCTAAAATGAAATTTAAAAATTTAATAAGTAGACTGGAAGAAACTTGATGCTGAAGAATGCAGTAGAGATGAGGCTGATGATAAGAAGCCTGTCCCTTTGAGATTCTCAGTGCTCTTACAATGTATTTAATAGGACCTGAATATACAGAATAGGGCAGCAAATGATTTATTCAGTAGATTGTTTTCTAATGAGATAGAAGAAAAGATCACAGATGAGAAAAGTAAAATATTCAATAGTTTTGTGATTGCTCTCCAGAAGATAATCCTGACAGTTAATAAAACATGATGATTGCTCCCAAATTAGCTTTGAAAAATTTTAGGTCCTCTTTTTAGTATGAAAAACCAAAAATTAAAAGTTAAATAACTTTGTTTTTCGAGTAAACTATTCAAATTCTTCGTGTTCATTAGGCTTTTTTATAGAGCAGAGAGGCTATGAAAGAAGCCTCCCTTGTTTTCCCTCCCTTAACAATTTACATGTTTTCCATGCAAATTTTCATGATTTCCAGTTTTGATATATAGATCCTTGTAGGCTTTTTTTCACAGAGGTGAATATGAAAGCGTCTGCCTGGACCCCAGAATAGCCCTGCCCGTGAAAAACAGCTGGCACTTTGTTTCCCCAGTTCACCCACAGCACCTCAGCCCCCCGGCCAGYAGCGTCACCTCGGCACGGGCAGGCAGCACAGGAGCCTCTGCGCTGACGGCAGCTCTCTTCTGGTTCCATCTTCCAAGAGACATTATTTTAAAGACCTTCCTAGTAGAAAATCTGGCAGTAGAAAGAACAGATGGAAAAATATAGAGGGTTTTGTGATAATCAGATTAGTATACATAGTGCTATATAGTTTTGCCCTTCACATTTGTGGAAAGATGGGTATGGCTATTGAAGTTTTTATCAGACATTACATTGCAACTTTCATCCAAGTCCTTTTTTATGAGCCTAATGTAATACTAATAAGGCATGTCTCATTATATAAACAAAATAGGCGGCTTCTGATTCTTGCAACAGGCAGTGGTGATTTTATC